GCACTCGCCGAGGAAAGGGAAGACAGGCTTCGCGTCGAGCAAGCACTCGCCGAGGAAAAGGGCAGGGCCCTCCAGGCCGAGGAAGCCAGCGACGCCGCGATGGAGAAAGCAAACGAGCTCCAAACCGCGCTGGCCGACCAGCGACGTCAGAGGTCCCGCAAGGCAATTCGCGGAGACTTCCCCACGCATGTGAACCACGCTCCCTCACCTGCGCTGGCGCGAGCCCAGCATGATTACCTCCAACTCAACGTTTCCCGCGAGGAGACTTCGCAGCCAGTGCACCCAAAGCGAGTGGTGATTGTGAAGGGTGGCGACCCTCCCGCCTGGAAGCGCGGCACGAAACATTAGGCATTTTTAGGGTTCAGTTCGGGCATTTCCTCTGTCCTCGTCGATGGCGAAGGGGCGCGAAAGTAGTGGGGGTTGCGGGAAGAGCACAGATATCCCGAGAATGCCACAACACCACACCACGTACGACACGAATAGGTCTAGTCGACAGTGAAATGGGTAATTTGGGCCTTAGAGGCGGAGGGTGATGGCGGCAACACTGGTCACGATGATCGAGGACACTGATTAATAAACCGCTGCTGGCCGAGGGTGATCGACGCAGCTGTGACCAGGAGAGCATCTCCTGGAGGTCATTCGTGCAGTTGACTGCTCCGGCTAGGAATAGTTTGAATAGATACCCAACCTTCCACGCTCTCGGACCCTAGCCCTCCGGGTGATCTACCTGGGGAGCTCGACACGCCTCTGTCGCTGGGCCGGGTAATCTCATCAACGATACAAGCAATCTCGTGGTGCTGGGGTCAGACCTGCACACCGGCCTGGACGGACGGAAATTCGGAGCAGTCCCGCGAAGGGATGTCACCCCCCAAACGGCAACAAAGTTAGGGCAATTGCGTGAAGACGTATTTATGTCAAGAGAGTATGTAGCGGTATCCCGATGGACCTAGGCCGGTCGAGCAGTAAATTACTTGACCAGATTGATGCACCTTACTGCTTTCAACAAGACCATGCAATATTGCACGCAAAAAATGTCTCGTGCATTCCGGCGGATTTACATCTCTAATATTCTAGGCCGTATAGCTGATCGTCCAGACGCTGGCGCCTCCGTTGGCGGTAAGATTGTTGATTTACGAACCCAACTCTTGGCGGATGCGGGCACCGTAGCGATGTCAGCTGGAAAATGGGCTCTCGAATCCTTTTGCGACGATATTGAGATTTTCAGGCGCCGACGCTGAATGTGCCTCCATGGGTTGTCCTCGACGTCCGATGCTCCCAGTTTGCTGGGACCGACACTCAAATAGGAGGAGGGTGAGCGAATCGGTCCGGAGCACCGCCTCTCGAGTCCGTGTGTCGAAGCGGCCACTGTCGTGACGAAGTGGGACGATGAACGGTGAGGGAGTTCGCCCATTAAAGATATTGGTGTCCTGGAACGACGAGCGACCTCATCAGTGGCCGGACTCCTTCCCCATGAGAGCGTCGTCGCTGATCACGCACGGGAAGTGAGGGGGTAGGGAGGGATGTGCACACTTGTCCGCTCACCTGCGAGCAGCTTCGTGTTCATGATTTACTCTCGACGGGTTGCTTGTCTTGTGATCCCCAGTCCCGATGCAACCAGAGGGTGCGAGGACCGATGACGTCGAAGACCGCCGAGTGACAATGTTCAGCATAAATCTCAAGACACCGCCACTGTGCTTTGCGAAAATCAAGACCTCAACTCGCCTGTAACCGCACTGTCTCCTTGCAGAACGGTGATATGATCAGGATGGACGCTTGCGACGAAAATGAGGTGCCCTCACGCAAAGAGTCACCCCCGGGACCGTCTGGGAATGGACTTCCTCGAATTCTCATCGCCTCCCACTCCGAGGAGGATCACGACCCTGTCGACATCGGCAGCCGCTCATCCCCATGCCGTTGTACCCTACCTCAGAAGCCGAGCGTGAGGGGCCCGGGGAAGGGAGTGGACCGCCAACTGGGTGAGACCGAGGGAGCGGTGGCCGCGACGACGCAGCAAAGAAAGAATTTTCACGCCCGCAAGAATACACTGGCTCGGGAGCCCTTGCGCGAGCTCGACGTGGCCGATTCTGAGCTCGCAAAGCTGACGGCCGGTACCGGCGGGGTCCGGATCGTGTGGTCCACCACCCTCAGGTCCACCGTCGGTCGTGCCAAGTTGAGAAGAGCACCGAGTAGAATCTCCAGAGTACCTATCAAAAGAGAAGAGGCGGAAAGAGCCGGCGTCGAGATAGCGTATTTTCTCACCATCGAGCTGGCCGAGAGAATTGTCGATAGTGAGGACCGCCTCGTTAGCACGCTGGCGCACGAGTTCTGCCACCTGGCGAATTTCCTGATCAGCAACGTGCGCGACCGGCCGCA